TGTAGCATAACCCAATACCAATACCACCCAAGGACAGACAAAAAGAACCACTGAGCAATTTGATATATGAAAATAGATGCAAAACTTGGAAATAAATATTAATGACCAATCCAGGAAAAAAGAAAACATTACTATTAAATAGCCTTTATACCAAAAATGTAAGAGTCATTCAACATTGAGTAACAATATAATTGTCTACTCTGATCATTTTTAAATAGCTTACAAAAATGTGATAATAACCAACACCAAATCAGATGCAAACTCACAGAAAATTAGGAATAGAAGGAAGTGTTTTAAAATTGATAAATTATATCTGCTGTGGACTCACAACAAATATATTTAACAATGAAATGTGAGAAGTACATACATCAAGAAAAATAAATATATCCTCTTTTTGATATCTGTTGCTTCCATTCAACAGTGTTCATTAGGCTCTAGCTAATACATTAACAAACAAAGAAATAAGTATTATAAAAACTGGAAAAAAAGAACCAATAGAACCATTACTATTGTGAATTATAAATCACTGTTTATCTATCTTGAAAACTAAACACTGTCTTGAAAACTGGAACAATAAGTTAACTATGGGGGACCCATGCTCAATACATTCAGTCAAGAGAGATTTTTTTTAAAATTATACTTTAAGTTCTGGGGTACATGTGCAGATCTTGCAGGATTATTGCATAGGTACATACGTGCCATGGTGGTTTGCTGTCTCCATCCCCCCATCACCTACACCAGGCAATTCTCACAACATCATCCCTCTCCAATCTCCCCACCCCCCACTGTCCTCCCCCTAGTTCCCCAGCCCTCAACACACTCCTGTGTGTGATGTTCCTCTCCCTGTGCCCATGTGTTCTCATTGTCCAACACCCACTTATGAGTGAGAATACGCTGTTTGGTTTTCTGCTCTTGTGTCAGTTTGCTAAGAATGGTTTCCAGATTCATCCATATCCCTACAAAGGATATGAACTCATCCTTTTTTATGTCTGCATAGTATTCCACGGTGTATATGTGCCACATTTTCTTTGTCTAGTCTATCATTAATGGGCATTTGGGTTGGTTCCAGGTCTCTGCTATTGTAAACTGTGCTGCAACGAATACATGTGTGCATGTGTCTTTATAATAGAATGGTTTATAATCCTTTGGGTATATGCCCAGTAATGGAATTGCTGGGTCAAATGGAATTTCTATTTCTAGATCCTTAAGGAATCACCACACTGCCTTCCACAATGGTTGAACTAATTTACACTCCCACCAACAATGTAAAAGTGTTCCTATTTCTCCACATCCTTTTCAGCATCTGTTGTCTCCAGATTTTTTAATGATCACCATTCTAACTGGCATGAGATGGTATCTCGATGTGGTTTTGATTTACATTTCTCTAATGACCAGTGATGATGAGCATTTTTTCATATGTTTGTTGGCCTCATAAACGTCTTCGTTTGAAAAGTGTCTATTCACATCTTTTGCCCACTTTTGAATGGAGAGTAATTTTTAAAAAACTGGAAATAAGAAACTGTCTTTGGATAGGAAGATGCCATATGCTGAAGGTATCAATTCAAGTTTTCTATAAATTTAATGCAATTCCAATATAAATTATGCACCATAATGAACGGAAATTCATCACAGGAATGCAAGGTTAGTTTAACATCCGACATTCAATTGATGTAATAGACACTATCAATAGAATTAAAAATAAAAACCATATGATCATCTACACTGATGCACAAAAATTGTTTGACAAAATGTAACACATTTGCATGATAAAAACACTTTAAAAAGTAGGAACAAAAGGGAATTTCCTCAACATGATAAAGGCCATCTATGAAAAACCCACAAATAACATTATACTTAATGGCAAAAGGCTAAATGTTTCTCCCTTGATATCAGGAACAAGATAAGAATGTCCACACTTAGACTTCTTTTCAGTACTGTGCTGTAGGTTCTAGCCAGGACAATCAAGCCGGAAAAAGAAATAAAACACATCTGGATTGGAAAGTAGGGAGTAAAACTATCTCTAATTATAGAAGACATGATCATATATGTATATGTGTGTGTGTGTATCTGTGTGTGTATATATGTGTGTGTGTGTATTTGCATGTGTGTAAATATATCTATATATATATGTATATGTGTAATCCACTAAGAAACTATTGGAACTAACATATGAGTTCATCAAGTTTGCAGGATACATAATCAATGTATAAAAAAACCAATATTGTTTCTACATATTTGCAGTATAAAATCAAAAATTAAAATTAAGAAAACAAATTCCATTTATAATAGCATTAAAAAAATACTTAGTAATAAATTGGCCAAAATGAAAGCAATACTTATTCTCAAAAATCATAAAACATTGTTGAAAAAAATTAAGATCTAGATAATGGAAAAATGTTCATGTATTAGAAGACTTAATTTTCTTCCAGTTGTTAAGATGGCAATAATTTCAAATTGCTCTACAGATTCAACATAATTCCTATAAGCATCCCACCTGATTTCTTTGTAGAAATTGACCTGCTACTTATAAAATTTAAATGTATTTGTTAGGTACCCAGAAGAGCTAAAAGAATCTTGAAAAGTTAAGGAACTCACACTTCCTAATTTCAGAACTTACTATAAAACCACAGTAATCAAGAAAGTGTGCTGGCATTACCAAAGACATACAGAGCAACAGAATAGCACTGAGAATTCAGATATAGAACCATATTTTATATTCAACTGATGTGCTGGGAAAAAACTTGATAGCTACCTGAAAAGGAATGAAACTAGACCTTTGCCAAACAGCATATACAAAAACTAACTCAAAACAGATAAAAAACCTAAATGTAAGAGTTAAAAACCATAAAACTCTTAGACAAAAGTATCTAAGTAAATTCTTATGATCTCTGATTTGGCTCAGATATAAAACAAAAGCATAAAGAACAAAAGAAAAAAAATAGCTAAATTGGATTTCATCAAAATTAAAATCTTTTGTGCCTCAAAAAATACTATCAAGAAAGTGAAAAGACAACCTATCAAAATGGGAGAAAATATTAGCAAAGCAATTATGAGACAAAGTTATATCTAGACTATATGAAGAACTCTTAACAAGTCAATAACAAAAATACAAAGAATTCCATTAAAACATGGCCAATGGCTCTGAATAGATATCTCTCCTAAGGCAATATACACATGGCCAATAAGCACATGAAAAGATGCTCAGCATCATTAGTCACTAGAGAAATACTAATCAAAACCACACTAAGCTAGCAGTTTATACCCACTATAATGAAAAAGTCAGATAATAACAAGTATTGGTGAAGATGTGGAGAAATCAGAACTCTTGTGCACAACTGTTGGGAATGAAAAGTAGTGCAACTGCCATGGAAAGTTTGGGAGTTCCTCAAAAAGTTAAACATAGAACTACTACATTACCCAGCAATTCCACTCCTATGAACATACCCTGAACAATGGAAAACAGGCATTAAACAAAAACTTGTAGAGGAACATTCACAGCAGCACTATTTACAAGAGCTAAAATGTGGAAACAACCCAAATGTCTATCAACTGATAAACTGATTTTTTTAATGTGGTATATATATCCATAAAATGGAATATTATTTGGTCATAAAAAGAAATGAGGAACTGACATATGTACAATATGTATGAACTTTGAAAATATTATGCTAGGTGAAAGAAGCAAGGCACAAAAGGCCACATATTTTGTGATTCTTTTTGTATAAAATGCCCAGAATTGGCAAACCCATGGAGAAAGAAAGCAGACAATGGTTGCTTAAGGCTGATGAGGCAAGGGGAAATAGAGGAATAAGGAAGTGATAAGCTAAGGAGGTGACAGCTAACAGGGTATCAAGTTACTTTATGAAGTAATGAAAGTGTTCTAAGTTTGACTGATGATAGTTGCACATATCCATGAATATACTAAAAACCACTGAACACCTTAAATGTATGAACTGTATAGTATGTAAATTACATTTCAATAAAGCTGTTTTTAAAAATATTAACAATACAAGGAACGATCAATAATTGCTTCTTGTACCCCTAGTATAAGCTCAGTGTCAGTCTACATTTTAACTTTGTATTTTTCTTAAAGCTATCCATTGCTTAACAAATTCCTTCAGGTGTTTCATAACAAGAGAAAAGTTATTTTAATGTAAAATTATTCTATTTTTATCTAGATAAAAACATAGAAATAATTTATCACACAACGAGTGTGCTGAAGTTAATTACTTGTGTTATTCTCCAATTACCCTTAGTAAACTTTCTGTCTCTACAAGACACTGCACAAAGCACAATTCATACTTGTCTTTTACTATGTCAAATAAAAAAATCTATCACTATGCATCATAAAATCTCTAGATGAGGGCACTCCTTACTGCAGAAGAGTACTGTATTTTGAGATGGACCAGAAAAATGAGAAGAAGAAATAACATTTATTAAAGCACATAACAGAACATGAATAGTACCAAGAAAGCCTGGGCATCCATGACATACACCCACACATTTTGACAACTAGAAGTCACTTCTGAATGAAGTCTCACTAGAGACCTAAGAGAGTAGCATAGGGAAATATGCCTGTAACTCGACGTCATACACCTTTTGGCTCACAAATGCCTGAGAACATCTAGGAGAAAAGCATAATTAAGACTAGAAATAAGTAGAATGAACTTGAACATCAGTAAAAAAAAAAATCAGTTGAGAATTCCTAACATATCCCATATATAAGAGGGGTTTTGAAGAACATGAAAAGAAACCAATGTCTTGTCTAAGTATAGCTCTCCATCAATAAAGAAAAGTTTGGAGATTTTTAAAAATGTTATTCAAACTTACTCCCCCAAAATGAACAGAAGTGACAAAGAGATCGAGGTGAATTCCTAAGCACCACATTTGCATAATACTTAAAAGTGCCTGTGAAGGAGTAAGTTTAAATGTTCTGTCACATATTAGCACCATGGGCCTAAGGGTTAAATAAAATCATATTCAGAACAAAAACAACCTACCATTATGTGTTCAAGTAGAGAATCTATTGCAACTATGTTATCAAAATATGTTCTGGAAAAAAAAAACATAAATCCTGTAAGTAATTTTATTAGATCACAGTACATATTAAACTTTAAATACATTTCCTGGTTTTGTCTACATTCAAATAAAAAACATAAAGATATATAAAAAATATTTTTTAAATTAGTATGGTAATATTATTTTAAAGAGACAAATAAAACTTTATTATTGACCTTAGCATGAGAATTCTAATTCCAGAGAATGCAATCAGTATTTATTTTACTGATAAGTATCAGTGTAGAGAGAAAGTTTATTGCATTTAAAAAGTATGCAGAAATAAAATTGCATTCACCGTATTTAATATTTTCATTAATAACTCTGATCTACAATAAAAATATTTAAATGTGCTAAATCTCAATAGTTATATATAAATTATTGCTGAAAAACTGGAGAAAGTTAATATTTAGCTTAAGTGTACTAAGAAAGTAACATAAATCATTTGAGCAGAAATGTCAGATTATAAGTAATGTTATGGATCTAGTGACTTTATATGAACATATATTCATTATTAAAAACAGCAAGTAAATGTTTCAAAGACAAATAGTACATATATTAAAATGTAAACCTGAAAAAAGATAAATCAATAGGCATGTAACATTCAGAAAATGTAAAGAAGAACTCTTAAGATAGACTCTACTGTCTAGGTAACGCTCTACCTAGTTGGCTGAGGTCACTGAGGGGGGCTTTTGCAGTCCCATGCTTCTTTAATTGTGTTATTTCAAAAAATACATGTAACATAAACTAGTAACTTCAAACTAATTAATGAGGCTCAACAATAATTACTGATGAGTCAATTATTAAGTGCATATACAGTGATATGAAACATAACACGCCATAGTTAGTGCCGGAGGCCACAGAGGAACAAAGTACATTCCTCCTTTAGTAAGCTTGTAGGTCATGACCCTAAAGTTACCACATCCTGGGGCATATTTTAGATTTCAGTGATTAATTATATGGGTCAAATATATAGAAAATGTCCCCTGTGATAAATAAAACCAATAAAAATATGTGATTTAATAAATGCCTATTACATAAGTGCTTCCACTACCAGCCAAAGAGTTTTTCTAGGTCAAACCAGGGAAATGGAACATTTTACCAGAAATGATAACTGAGATACTATATATGGGAAAATTTAAATAATAATATTAATAATGTTTAATTTACTGACATTGTTAGACAAACCAAATAGGACTTTTTGGGGAAAAAAACAAAACAGAGCATTTTTTCTTCTACTGTAGCCATTATTCTCCTGCAAAAATAGAAATATTCAGTGTCTTTAACATGTTCTAAGAGAGTCTATTTAGACAATAAACATCAAACTGAAAATTAAGATCATCACATATATATCTGCAACCCTTCACTTTAGAGTGAACGTAAGTGGGAATATAGCTCTACAGTCCATAATATGATTATCCGTACTTCCCAGACTACTTGTAAAGATGGATCTTCAATTACCAGCTGCAATAGACAGTAGTATATTTCTGCCACAGGCTGCACTTAATTTAAACCGCTGATCACCAAGAACTACGACATAACAAGAAATGAACACTTACTTTGATACATCGAGTAGAAAGTCATTCAATTCAGTCTGTTTGGCAAGGCCTCTGCATACCTACCATATAAAATAAAAGCTACAATTATAAAAGAATTCTGCTTATTCAAAAATAAAACTTCCAGAATACTATTTACTTTATTTATTGAAAGAAGGCCTAACACAATCACTTGCATTATAATGTAATAATAATACCAACAACCATTACTATTTACTGAATACTTAAATGTGCTAAACGTTGTTCTAAGTATATTTATTGTCTCAGTCACCACAAAACATTACAGGTTTGGAATTTATATTTCGTACTGGAGTCATAAAGATGTTAAGAACGTGCTGAGGCTGGAGACGTAATAAGGGACAGAAGCAGCGCTCAGCTCCAGGGAGTCTACTCAAGTCCCTCTTTAGAACTCCTTTACACTGTCCTTTTAAAAATTGTAGGTGAGCATATATTCCACCTATATTTGATAATTCAAGAGTCTTTTCTACTCCTTTATCCTACAGCTTGATTTTTCTTCCTTGCATACAGTTCCTCCCTTATCAACCTCAATTTGCTGAAACAGAAGTAGAAAAATAAAACCACCACCAAAAATTGAGAGAGGGAGAAAATACATAACAATGTCATGTTGCTACTATGTTCCTGAACTTTAAAGTCTAACCACCAGTAAAACTCTAAGTAGTTGGTGATTTTTAAATAATACCTTCAAGAGAACCAGATATCTTAAAGTTAGTATGTTTCACAGACTACTTAGAGGAAAATGTAATTTAGGAAACAGAATCATAAATATATCAATGCAACTCCAGTAGGAGATTGTTCCTAGGTTTTCAGTAGAAAGTACTATAGTAGGACATATGCCATTTATTGCATAAATTGTGCATGTGTGTATTTTATATATAGATATATATGTATCTGAATACACACACATATAATTGCAAAATAAGGTGGGAGTAAGCAGATATAAATGATTAAATTAAAATTTCCAGGAACAATGGAAAATTCTAATATCCCAAAAAAAGGCTTTTGGTGACTTAACCTTGACTTCAGTCTTCAATGCTACACTTTATTTTTTTTTAATATACATTTTATTGCATTTTAGGTTTTGGGGTACATGTGAAGAACATGCATGATTTTTGCATGGGTACATACATGGCAAACCACAATACTACACTTTAAAAAACTCTTCTCTCTTAGGAAGCCCCTGCAAAAACACTCCAAAGACTCACCTGCACCTGATGTATTGCTACTGAAGCCCAGGCAAGATTTGCTGTTGCAACCTAAAAAAATTAGAAACACATACCTATAAATAGTAATATATTATACATGTATAACAAGTTTTTATTAGTCATCTCAACAAAGGACTGTGGCATACATGTATATGAAGAATTTTCTGAGATCACTGAGTTTTGAACATTTTGCCAAACACAAAGCACTAGTTATTTACAAGGTTTTTCTTTTATATTTCCCCTTCTATTTAATTGACTTTAATGTTCTCTTGTTCATCTTAATTTTGGATAAAATGGAAAACAAACTGATTGTTAAGAGAGCTATAGCCCAATGATTTAAACATAATTATTATTTTTCAGCTTAACAAAAATACTATCAAAAAGAAATCTAATGACTTTAAATAATGAAATATTTCTAAAATGTAAAAATCATATATAGATATATATATATATACACATACATATATACATACATGCACACTAGCTAACGAGTTGCTCAAAATTACTAGCTATTCTACTTCTTTTATTATTCACTCATTCAGCCAATATTCATGACTGCCTATTATGTACCAGGCACTATTCTAGGTGCTGGAGATACCGTAGTAAAGAACAGAAATGGAGGAGCTTTCTTTGTACTTCAGGGAGAAAGACAAGAAAGGAAATAAGTGTAGCCCATAATATATTAGACGGTGACAGGTGCCACAGAGAAAAAGCAGCAGGAAGAGAGAAAGACATACTGGATAGGAGCCATTCAAAAGTACATGAAGTATTCAGGGAAGGCTTTGTAGAGAAAGCAACATTTGAGGAAATTCCCAAAGGATGTGGCCATGATGAGGATAAACAGAGAGAAGAAAAATGCAAAGGCCTGAGTAGTAGCCTGTCAGCCTTGCCCAAGGACCCAGTGTGGCTTGTGAGTGAGGGTCAGATGGAGTAGGTCAGCCTTGCCCAGGGACCCAGTATGGCTGGAGTGAGTGAGGGTCAGATGGAGTAGGTCAGCCTCGCCAAGGACTCAGTGAGGCTGAAGTGAGTAAGGGGCAGCTGGAGTAGCAAGGGATGTGGTCATTCAGGCAAGTGGACAGGAATTAGGTCACTGAAGGGAACTGGTTCATATTGGATGTGATAAATATTTTAATATTTGGTTTTAGTATTAATGAGCCAATTCAGTGAATAGTGAATGGAACTCATGGTTTTCCAAATGTATTTGACACTAGAAACTTTTTTTCAGGACACGAGCTAAGAAAAAGACATTTTAAAAAAGACTTAACCAGAGTGTGAAAATTCTCCAAGTCATTCTACTACTTTCTATGACTAAGAGTATGGCATACCTTTTATTGTTATAATGGATTGTTTTTTGTTTGTTTTGTGGTTGCGTGTGTGTGTGTTTTCTTTTCTTTTTCTTTTTTTTTTTTTTTTTTTTTTTGAGAAAGAGTCTTACCCTGTTACCCAGGCTGAAGTGCAGTGGTATGATCTCAGCTCACTGCAACCTCTGCCCCTTGGGTTCCAGAGATTCTCTGGCCTCAGCCTCCCAAGTAGCTGGGACTACAGGCATGTGTCACCACGCACAGCTAAGTTTTGTATTTTTAGTAGAGATGGGGTTTCACCATGTTGGCCAGGATTGTCTCGATCTCTTGACCTTGTGATTTGCCCACCTCAGCCTCCCAAAGTGTTGTGATTACAGGCATGAGCTACTGCACCCAACCTCAATTCTTATTCTTACTTAACAAAAGGACTATATTTCTAATGTAACCAGTTTCCTCTCTAAACAGAAACAGGTTTTAAAATCATCATTATTAGTATCAAAACACTGTTAAGCAAACTGTGATTTTAAATATTAATTCACATATTTTCAGTTTAGTATTACTTAGCAATACTAACAAGCACCTTCAATGAGCTAGGTAGGACTAAAAATTCTAACAAGCAGTATTTAAAGACCTCACCTCTTGGTGACTAAGACAGAAGGCTTCTTTGCCCCAGTGCCGATACAGCTCAAGAATACCAATCAAGTCACCAATTGCAGTGACAATTGGTAAGCAAAGAACAGACTGGATGCGAGTCCCTGATTCCAGTCCAGTACCTCGTGGAAATCGTTCATCCTGAAAAACAAAAAGAGAAAAAGATATAAATTCAGTGAAATGATCATTAAGTTAATTCCTATTTCTATCAGAAATTGCCATGATACTTGTAATCAATAATAAGCAGTACTTTTCAAAGAAAAACTAAATGACGATAGCCACCATAAATCTTATGTAAGAAAATGCTTACTTTTTCATGGAACTTATGCCCAAACACTGCTTTAATATTTCTTTATCCCTATGCAGTATAAATTTAATGAATGAATGACTGTTAATTCCATATGATAATAAAAATAATCATAAATGCCGACATTTATGCATCGTCTTCTATGTGCCAGAACAGTCTTAGGGTGTTTACAGGTACAATGCCACAGAGAAAATTACTCCAAATGTAAATACTATGTGAAGAAAATTATATATAAGCTTTTTCTATTTTTAAGCCTAGAATTACACGTGTGTGTTAATAACAATCATTTTAATTGAACCTCAAAGACCCATAGTAACTATTCAAATCATCTAATAATGATCAATTATTTATCATAAGAAATGAAATTGGTTCACTGATTTTAATAATTTTCTAGCTTAGCAAATTTACTCAAAGGAAGTACAGGGAAACTGAATGAATTAATATCAAAAGCACCAATTCTATTTATTCAATTTCTACTGTCTGTAGGAAGCTATCAGGCATGAATTTGAACTTCATGACATAGTACAACTCTGTATTTATAATTTATAGATCTTTTGAAAGCTTCCATACACAACAGAACATTTTCAAATGAGAACTTATATAGCATGGGCCCTTCCTTCTCTTCTTCTCTCCCTTCCTCCCTTCTTTTTCTTCTCTCCTTCTGTATCTTCCTTTCTTCCTCTAGCTACCCTATTTATTCAAGGTCATACATATAATGGTGGAAAAAACAAAATTAAAACCCGGGTTTCATGACTCCTATTAGCACTTAGAGCAATTTTTTACACCTATGTACTTGTTTGCACTTGCTACCTTTAAAATCTATACTCCATGTAGTACAATTTCATTAAAATCTCCACATGTACTGTGGAAGACTAGACTGAGGGCTCCGCTTTGTCTTGTTTCTCTGTATCTATGTCCTTTGCTAGTGATCAGTACTGATTCCTGGCCTGTCCATGTGATTTGCTTTGGCTAATGAGAGGGCAGTAAATCTGATGGAAGCAGAGGCTTGAAAACTTTCTTGTATGTTCCCACTACTTCTCTCAGACTCCTGCTACCATCACAAAAACATGCCAGCCTAGCTTTACTAGAATTGGGCGAGAGATACATGGAAAGCAGAGGGCATAAGAGGCCAGCCAGCACCTAACTGGTGGCCAGCTGACTTCAGACACTTGGGCAAGCGCAACAGACAGCAGTCCAGATCAGCAGAATGACCCATCCTTAGATTCCTAGGAAACATGTGGCTACTGTTCGATACCACTAAAATCTGAGGTAGTTTGTCATACAGCAATAGCTAACTCATTCATATGCATCCTAGCAAAATCTGAAAGATAAAACAGTAATCATTTAGTTTACATTAATATAAATATATACAGTATTTTTGTGTTTAACTGAACTGACATGTGTTGAAATAAGAACTGTTCAAATCTAGCTCTTAGTGGGTAAAATGAATTTTCTGAGTACAATCATTAACTTACACATTAATATATTGATCTCTACCCAGCTTTAACGCTTTTTAAAATGAAACGATTTAAGTTATAACATCAAAATGATATGCCATCTTTCTTAATTAAATACATTAGGTTAAAAATATTGCAAAGAGTCAAAAAGCCATTTACCCCAAGGATGTCTTCTACTAGCAGTGTTTTCCTGGACTTGGCCACATAAGCAGAGATGGTGGTGCCCTGGGTGATGGGCCCAGCAGGGATGAGGCGGGGTTTTCCTTCCTTTATCCCAGGTGGTGTGAATACGCACAGGCTCTAGGGAGAACAAAAGACGTTTTACAGACTTTCCTGTACATGTGCATGGTACAAAAAGACACATGCTAATCTTAATAGTCATAGTAAATCTGTGAGGCAAATAAAAGAAGAGTCATAAAATGAGGAAAGGTGCTTTGCCATGATCAAACCAGATTATCTAAAGTGAAACTATCTCACATTTCCAGTTCACAAAAAATACACACTCAAATTTAAAACCGAAATGAATATACAGGCACAAAAACACTCTTCCAATAGCCTCCTACGTTGATACATAGAAAATAGTGAAATGAGAAAAAAATGCATCCTGTCATTGAGATCAGGATTCTATCAGACCACAAACAAAGGGTCCAACCTCCCTACAGACTTGACGCATGTTACCTGAAGATAGAATCAGTACCTGTAAGTCAAGTCATTCAGTTACATTTTTCATTTTCATCAGAAATCTTCCCTTCTTAGAACCTTCTCTTTATAAGACTCACTCACATTGCTTCAACTGGCTAGTTTATAAAACTGCAGATTCAGAATACTCTAGATGAAAAATTTGCTCTTCTCTGAGCAAAAATCTTGACGCGCCTGAGTGATCTTTCCTTTTCAAATGACTAGTGAGAGGGTAAAGTCCTGAAACTATTTTTTTATAAGTAGTAGAAGCAGTTATTTTGATGAAATCCAAACATATTTTTAAATTATTTTCTACTAAATAAGAATTGCTACTTAAATCATGTAGAAATTGGGGCAATATTTTGATATAATTGTATTATGACTATCTACAAAATTTTAAAATATTAAGGTTTGGGTAAATTTCCCACAGACTTCACATTATTTTTATCTTATGTTGGATTATTTTAACAAAGAATGAAGACAATTTGAAGTAATAAGTATCAGGTAGCCCTCTTAACCTAAGTGCCTTTCTATAATACTTGTTGTTACTAAGGTAGTTCTAAGGATGAGACAGATACATTATTTAAGATTTGTAAAATTAGAGAACTCTTTCTTTAAACATCTTAAAATCAAAAGAGAATGGACCCCATACACTTGACTTAATGAAACGCATAAACTTGGCTTAATGAACAAGGAGGAAGAAAGAAGAATGCAAAACTTTGTTTTAACCCTGGGTGCTTTAAATAAATAACAATTAGAAGCAATTAGAAGCTAAGTTCAAAATACTTGTATTTCCAAGTATATCTACATAGGGCTGTAATTAAGTTGTACCTGCTATTAATGCATGTGAAAATATATTTTAAGTAATTCTTTTAAAAATAAGCTTAATATGTTTAAACACAAAGTATACACTTATGGATTAAAAATATATATATGATGAATGACAGTTTGAACTTAGCTATTTTTTTAAAAGGCCACAAAAACTACCTTCTAGTTACTATAATTATATTGGGCACCAATATACACATGGCATAGAGTAAGACTGTCATTAGATTTAGTATCTATCATTGTCCAAATTCAATTCAGCTTGTCACCCTTCCTTAAGATAGAAAGAGTAGAAAAGAAATTCAAGAAGAAGAAGAAGAGACAAATACAAGAAAAAAATTTTAAATGTGGTATATCTAGCGTGAAGAAAAATTAGAATTGACCGTGATTTTCTCCAACTATAAGAAAGCAACTGTCCCTTTTCTCTACCGAAGACAGAACTGCAGGAAATGAACATAAACTGAACTGAGTGGGGTTCAGATAACTCTTAAAGAAGAACACGTCATGATAAAACAGAAGGTGAACTCTGGAGCAAGCTTCTAACAGCAGCTCTGTGCTTTTTATGGCTGAGTGTGGAGGTCATAGTGTTTGGCTGCATTTGTTTGTTTGAAAATATAAAACACATTTCTTCTTTTTTTTTTTTATGACTTAGCCGTAGGCCCTTTAAGGCTGAATTTAATCACATTCAATTCAAGTTATGTATAGTTTCATAATCCAATAATGATAGACTATCTTACACATTCCTACAGTATTAGATGATCATATATTTAATATTATAAAACATGTATTGCTTCTGTGTAGGTTTCATATGATACACAAGAAACAGGTAAGCAAATACTGGGCCCAAGAGTGTATGGAAAGCTCTTCTCCTAGTAACTTGTTGAAAATAAAAGGCGTAGAAGTCTTTCCGCTACTTGCTGGAATATGAAAAACTTCTCCATGTAGTTAAAATAACTGAATAATTCTTTACAGTAGAAACTTTATACTTGTCTTCCTAATTAGCTCATGATTTTTGTTCATATTAATCAAACATAAACGTTTCCAACGAGAGCTGATGATAAATGCTAACAAAACATTGAATACATTGTGGTATTAAGGCCAAAAACTCCGGCAGAAGGGAAAATGAAGACTAAGCTAAAAACACATCCTTGTTGCTGACGTGTTCTCACGGCTACACTTTCTCTCCTTTGTATTAGGGGTCCCTACTTGGTTGTTTTTGTTCTGTTTGCCTCCAAACAATTTACCTGCAAAAGCTCCCTTTTTAACATTCATTTCTAATTGAGGATCAGTCACTGGTTTGAATCACATGTTGTGCAGAAGCACTTTTTAAATGATTTTTGCAGTTGAATGCATTGATAGGTAGCTACCTGTCCCAAATATAAAAAGTCAGTAATGAACCTCTATACAGAGGTTGAATTTTACACATATTCAGGCATAAAGAAAAGTTGATTCAAACTCCCTTTATTCCACAGATACTGTCAAGTAGAAGGCCATGTATTGACTAATTACCATTTTTCCACTAACTGAACTGCCACCTTCATCCTCAAATATACTTGGGTCTGTTTCTGAACTCTCAATTCCACATCACTGGGTTTACTTATGTACCACACTGTTTTAACTATTATGAAAAGTTTACAGTCCACTTTGTGATTTGGCCAGGCAAGTCCTGACTTAGTTGTATTTCAAAAAAATCATGATTTACTTTATAAGCTATACACTTTGGCCTGGGCGCAGTGACTCATGCTTATGATCCCAGGGCTTTGGGAGGCTGTGGAAGGAGGGCAGCTTGAGACTGGGAGTTCAAGATCAGCCTGGGCAACACAGCAAGACCCCATCTCTACAAAAAATTTTAAAAATTAGCTGGGTGAGGTGGTGCATGCCTGTAGTACTAGCTACTCGGGAGGCTGAAGTGGGAGGATCACTTGAACCAAGGAGTTGGAGTTTACAGTGAACTAAGATTGTGCAACTGTACTCCAGATTGGGGGACAGAGCAAGACCCTGCTTCAAAAAAAAAAAGATATATACTTTGCATTTCTCATTGGTGAGGTAACTACATGGATACATTAATAAATCATTAATAAATGATTGAGGTAAATAAGTTCTGAAGACATTTACACAGATAACAAGGACTTGATGTTTCAAAATCAATCAATATAATTTTTGACTTAGAAATTTAACTGGAATATTTAGATTAATAAGATAAAAAACCATATGCTGACTATATGAATGAAAATTATCAGGCATTATTTTAGGAAGTATTAAGCCTCTTATACATATATTTACAATATTGAATTTTTTTTTCTTTTTTTTTTTGAACTAGAATTAGATTAAGAGGCAAGTGAGCTTGGAAGAAGTGGTGAAAATTAGAAAACGTTTTGCAGACATAAAATGCTCAGAAAAGTAAACTCAACAGATTTTTTTGTTTGTTTGAGACTCAGTCTTGCTCTGTTGCCCACGCTGGAGTGCAGTGGCACAATATCTGCTTACTGAAACCTCTGCCTCCTGGGTTTCTCCTGCATCCGCCTCTCGAGTAGCTGGGACTATAAGCTGCAACACCACATCTAGCTAATTTTTTTTTCTTTTTTTTTTTTAGAGAAAGAAAGAATGAATAAAAAAAAAAGAATGAAGGAAAGGAAGAAAGAGAAAGAGGGAGAGGGAGAGAGAACAGGGATGTTGCTTTATTGCCCGGGCTAGAATGCAGTCTAAAAATGGGTATGCCTGTAATTGTGTTTAATAATAGAGACATAAAAAAAAAATGAGGGAAGAAAATAATTAACGATCAGCCAACCAATATTTCATTTAAACCCGCAAATAGGTGTGGTGTAGTACTGATAAGAGTGTATATTTTGTGTATTTAAGTGGAGAGTTCTATAAATGTTAATCAAGTCTTCTTGTTCCAGATCTGAGTTCAAGTCCTGAATATCGATGTTAACTTTCTGTCTCATTGATCTGTCTAATATTGATGTTGAAGTCTCCCACTATTATTGTGTGGGAGTCTAGGTCTCTTTATAAGTCTTATATATCTGGGTATTCCTGTATTGAGTGCGTATATATTTAGGATCTTTAGCTCTTCTTGTTGCATTGATCCTTTTATCATTATGTAATGTCCTTCTTTGCTTCTTTTGATCTTTGTTGCTTTAATGTGTATTTTATCAGCAAAAATTGCAACTCCTGCTTTCTATTTATTTATTTTTGCTCTCTATTTGGTTGATAAATTTTTCTCCATCCCTTTGTTTTGAGTCGTTGTGTATCCTTGCATGTGAGATAGATCTGGATGTAGCATACCAATGGGTCTTGGCTTTTTTTGCCTCTCTGTGACTTTGGATTGGGGGATTTAGTCAATTTAAATTTAGAATTAATAACAATATATGTGAGTTTGATACTGTCATTTAATGTTGGCTGGCTGTTTTGCCCATTAGTTGATGCAATTTCTTAATTATGTTGATGTTCTTTATTTTTTGGTATTTTTTAGAAAGGCTGATACTGGTTGTTCCTTTCTATTTGTAGTGGTTCTTTCAGAAGCTCTTGTAAAGCAGGCCTGGTGGTAATGAAATCTCTGAGTGCTTGCTTGTTCACAAAAGATTTTATTTTTCCTTCACTTATGAAGCTTAGTTTGGCTGAATGTAAAATTCTGGGTTGAAAGTTCTTTTCTTTAGGGATGTTGAATATTGGCCCCCAGTCTCTTCTGTCTTGTAGGGTTTCTGCTGAGAGATCTGCTGTGAGTCTGATAGGCTTCCCTTTATGGGTAACCTGACCTTTATTTCTGGCTGCCCTTAGTATTTTCTCTTTCATTTCAA